CTGGAGCACAAAACCAGTCATAAGGGTCAATTTTGAGAAATTGAGATTTATGCGTCATCTGAAAGCTGAATACATAATCTTTCCATTGATGTATGGTTTGTTAGGATCGGACAATATTTGAAAATCTGGAATCTGAGGGTGCAAAAAAATCTAAATATTGAGAAAATCATCTTTAAAGTTGTTCAAATGAAGTTCTTAGCAATGCATATTACTAATCAAACATTAAGTTTTGATATATTTACGGTAGGAAACTTACTACATACTAAATGTCATGGATGAATATTTACTGAGATCTGTTTTGTAGAAATGACCCGAGATTCAGAGCCAAAGTACAGGAGGGTAAAATGACTTCAGAAAGACGGCAGCATCATTGCGTTATTTTTACACAAAGATGGGTAGCTCTATTAGTAAAATCTGTTGACTCTGGCATTTGCATTATATTCCAATGGTGACAGTTCAGAAATGGGAAAAAGCACTTGTGATTATTCCCGAAGCTGTCAAGCCTGTAACTCAAAAAGTCGAGCAGATATAGAAATTTCAATGTGGTTTCATGAGTAAATTGCTAAGTTGTACATATTTTCAAAGCTCAGAAACCAAATGTGGGTCATTCCGTTTACAGCTGTTGTTCTTTTAATGAGGAATGTGTGAAGAAAAAACTATGTTGAAACTAGAAATGTATCTCGTTTCCCTCTAAAACTGGAGTCATTCTGACTCTTCTCTAAAAAAATACTGGGTTACTCAGTAAATATACATTCATGAGATTTAATATTTTGGCTTTAATCACTATTTATGTTTTTCATTCTTTAGAAAAAACTAAACAAAAACAAATGTATTTAAGAGGAATGACCCAACTGGCTTAACCAGTTCATCTGACTGAAGACTGATATAAGTCAGGAATTATACTTTAATATAAGCATTGTGGTTATGCATTGGAAACCTTATAAGACACATAACTGGAACATTTATTTGCTGTTGCACACTTGCCTGTCAGACATGCATTACATGTTCATTACTGTGAACTAAGCATTCATTATGAGCTGAGAGACGCGTCTGTGATAATGACCGCTAGGGCTGTGCGATTAATCGATATCGCATCGCAATTGCGAATTGAGACGTTGCGGTTTGCTAATCGCAAAGCCTGCGATGTGTTCCAGAGCATATGCATGACTGCCAGCCTTGAGTTGCAGTCTTACTAACCAATAGAGTGAGCGCACCTCCGTTCTCCCCAATCAGCACTGCTCTAGCCAACTGAGTAAACGCCCACCGTAAATTTTTTTTTAAAAAGCCTGTGTCTCTGAATGCTTCTCATACTCGCTCCTTTCTGCCGCGTCTCACGGAGGAGCCGTTTACACTCGCAGCACACTATGGAAGGCCAAAAAGGCCTGAATTTTAATGAGTCAACAATGCGTTAAACACGTGTCGTTTACACGTGAAAAAATCAGTGCGTTAAATACGTGTATTCAACGTGTTAAATACGCGTGAAGTAGCCGTTAGAAATCAGTTTGAGGGGTCAGTGTCATTGGCTGCTGAGGACTTGGGTCAAACCACTTCTGTGAGCTTAGGGGGGGGTTACCATTCATAGACTAGACAACCACCATTTAACATGCTAAAACGTTAAATACGTGTTGTTGACGCGTTAAAATTCACGTGTTTTTGGCCCCTTTGGCCTTCCATAGCACACACGCAGTCTGTCTCGTAATGCTCGGTTATACGAGCGCATCTGGCAGTATGACCCGTGTCAACTCGCGCCTGGCTCCGCGTTTAAAACAAGTGTAAATTCAGTCTAACTGCAGTGCTAACTTCACTTGGATGAAATGAAACATTCAGCACATTTTCCACTTGTTCTTAAAATCCCAAATACTTAAAAATGACTAAATCAGCCTATGTAACCAATGTAATACTTTAATAATTGACTAAAGTAATACAGTTCTTTATTTACACAAAATAAACTAATCTTTCCTGTGAAATTCAGTAAATTCTGTAAAAGTAGTAATACCACTATAATATTCCCTGCTGAAAAAAAACAATAGAACCCCTCCCAAAACACAATAGAACATTTAATGGATTTAAGGGTTATAATGGTAATTACTGTATATTGGCTTTAATGTAAACTATAATGGTGTCTACTGGTACTTGATGGATTCTATTGGTGATATGTAATCTGGCAGATGGGAACCAATAGAACAACAGTAATTCCTATTGGAATAATGCCCAAAACACACTACAAAAAATAATTTTGTAATTGTTTTAATGGAAACCATAAGAATTTCTGTGATGGTTTCTATTATTGTTTTTTTCAGCAGGGTACTGATACCCATACTGTGCTGCACACTATTGACAATATTAAGCTGAAGCTTGACTTTGCAAAAATAAAATCACAAATCCTGTCAACAAAAAAAACATCGCAATTACATATTTTCCCCAAATCACACAGCCCTAATGAACGCTGCACACAGACATGAAGCTGTGTGTTTCTCTTTAATTCTGTAAAAGTAGTAATACCACTATAATATTCCCTGCTGAAAAAAAACAATAGAACCCCTCCCAAAACACAATAGAACATTTAATGGATTTAAGGGTTATAATGGTAATTACTGTATATTGGCTTTAATGTAAACTATAATGGTGTCTACTGGTACTTGATGGATTCTATTGGTGATATGTAATCTGGCAGATGGGAACCAATAGAACAACAGTAATTCCTATTGGAATAATGCCCAAAACACACTACAAAAAATAATTTTGTAATTGTTTTAATGGAAACCATAAGAATTTCTGTGATGGTTTCTATTATTGTTTTTTTCAGCAGGGTACTGATACCCATACTGTGCTGCACACTATTGACAATATTAAGCTGAAGCTTGACTTTGCAAAAATAAAATCACAAATCCTGTCAACAAAAAAAACATCGCAATTACATATTTTCCCCAAATCACACAGCCCTAATGAACGCTGCACACAGACATGAAGCTGTGTGTTTCTCTTTAATTGGACACCTCGTCTGTCTTAAATCAAGAACACAGTGACTCCAGACGAACACACAAACACGACGAGCCCAGCAGACACTTGAGAACGAGGTCAGAGATACACGAGATACAGAGAGAGAGAGAATATCGACAGGTTCATCAATATAATGTGAACCTAAACAAATCACAATAAAACTTCTGAACAGGAAAACACAAAAAAACAACCACACACATCTCACAGACCTCTGCTGTTTCATATAAAGTTCATGCTAATGATGAGTGACTAACACAAATATGATAAACAAACAGCAAAACATTTACTTTAATCATTTTCATCAGATTTGATCACTGCTGGAGAAACTTTTGCAGTCAGAATAAGCTAATAAACTCACAGACGGAGCGTGAAGGATACTCACACACACACAGAGACAGTCCAAGAAGCTCTTGAGCACAGAGTAAAACCCTGTTTTACCCATAACTACTGTAAAACACACACATTTAAACCAGAGAGAGGAGAAAGTGCGGGAACAGGAGGAAACCTTGAAGACGGAGAGACTGTGTGTGTGTGTGTGTGTGTGTGTGAGAGAGAGAGTGTGTGACAGAGAGAGATGAGACTCGGGCTAATTTTAAACGCTCCTCACGGGCCCCTGGGGAAATCCTGAGACCCCAATCGAAGAGTCTGAAGAGCCAAGACCAAGAGATCTCATTACACACACACACACACAAACCCCAACAAACACACACACACAAACACCCCAACAAACACCCCAACAAACACACACACACACACACACAGACACACACAGACACAGACACAGACACACACACACACACACACACACACACACAAACACCCCAACACACACACACACACACACACACACCCAAACATACACACACACACACAAACAAACCCAAACAAACACACACACACACACAAACCCCAACAAACAAACACACACACACAGATCCACTTGAGCAATACCGTTTACACACTGACAAAAATGACCTGATTACAGAAACTTGAGAAACAGATCTGATGTTTAAAAATCAGACTAAATGGGTTAAAGTGATGGTTCATCCCGTCTTACTGTCTTTCTTCAGAACACAAAATGAACTCAAAAGCTAATGTGCATATTGTGTACAGAAAAGAAGCCCTCGATTATTTTACTTCTACAGCAGCTGCGTTTACTTGCAACCAATTCAATAATCTGTTAGAAATACGATTGACCGCTCAGATTGAAAAACCTTCCCTTAAACACCTCAATCGATCCGATTTGATCAGATTACACGTGAAATAATCCAGTCAATAGGGACAAATTAAATATGTAAATGCTTGAATCTCATTGATCTGGACTGATGATGATCGGTGACTGAAGCGTGATGAGAGCAGCAGCGTGTGTTGTGTCTTCATACTCACAGATGATAAGGAGCGTGTTCTTGTTCTGCGGCGTCTGCTCCTCTGCTCCGCACAGAAGTCATGTCTGAAGAAGCTGTCTGTGAGCGTGCCGTTCCTCTCACAGCTGGAGACAGAACAACACCAGAGACGCAAACAGGTCAGAACAGGTGAGCATGCTCCACACAGGATTTCTTCCTGTTAAAGAGATTTGCTTTACACGGCAAAAAAGGCTTATCTGACTTACTCTGGTTTCTAGTCAAAATATCTACAAATTCTTACATTAAGATGCATTCACTTGATAAGCAAAACGACGTGAGATATTTGTGACCCTGGAGCACAAAACCAGTCATAAGGGTCAATTTTGTGAAACTGAGATTTATGCATCATCTGAAAGCTGAATAAATAATCTTTCCATTGATGTATGGTTTGTTAGGATGGAACAATATTTGAAAATCTGGAATCTGAGGGTGCAAAAAAATCTAAATATTGAGAAAATCATCTTTAAAGTTGTTCAAATGAAGTTCTTAGCAATGCATATTACTAATCAAACATTAAGTTTTGATATATTTACGGTAGGAAATGTACAAAATATCTTCATGGAACATGATCTTTACTTAATATCCTAATGATTTTTGGCATAAAAGAGAAATGTATAATTGTGACCCATACAATGTATTGTTGGCTATTGCTACAAATATCCCCCAGCGACTTAAGACACGTATAGTCTTGTTTCCAGAGGAAAAACTAAATTAAGTGCATTTTGCTTAAAACAAGTACATTTATCTTCCACCAGTGGGGTAAGTACAATCCTCTTGTTTTAAGAATATTGTACTTTCCCCACTGGCAGATAACTTTACTTGTTTTAAGCAAAATGCACTTAAGTTTTTTTCCACCCTGGAAACAAGGCTAAATATCTTATGCTGTTTTGCTTATCAAGCGAATGCATCTTAAATTTAAGAATGTTTAGATTTTTGACTAGAAACAAGACACAAATACTACGTAAGATAAGCCTCTTTTTTTGCAGTGTACATGCTCATTTGTAAATAATAAAAATACTTTTATTACATTATATGTCCAAAACTGAAAAAATCAAAAAATTTTCACACACAAAAATTTTTTTTTTTAAATTTAAAAGATTGTTACTACAAAGATGTGCTGGATTTGTATTATTAGAGCTTTCCGACTTGAGTTCACGTGCGTTTTCTCAGTCGGGAAATTATTTTTCACATGCAGTGCTGGTGATGATGCTTCTTGCGTTCGTTTCGGAGAACCAGAGGACAAATATTTCAATCGAGCGCTCAGGGATAGCATCTGTGGTCTGATTCGGTTCTAGTACATACCGGTTACATAGGTGCCATATTGGTACCGGGTTTCGGTACCCAAACCTACGTTCAATGCCATGACTTTAAGAGGTTTTCAGGCCTTGATTTGAAGGGTGAACTTAGTGCTGGGCGGTATACCGGTTCATACCGAATACCGGTGTTTATGTTTGTTATGATATGAATTTTTTTAAATACCGCAATACCGGTGTATGTCGCTTAAACAATGTTACGAACGCACCACTGTTTGAAAGGCATCCCTTTTCACTGCTGCACTGCGGTGAGGGAACAGCTGTATGTGTTACTAAGCGTGAACGTTCAGAAACTGAAGCTGTAGAACTAATAGAACGTGACGACACAGAAGAACTCATCCACAATATCCACACTGACCTCCACAAATATCCAGCGCCCGCTTATTGTACTTTCCCCACTGGCAGATAACTTTACTTGTTTTAAGCAAAATGCACTTAAGTTTTTTTCCACCCTGGAAACAAGGCTAAATATCTTATGCTGTTTTGCTTATCAAGCGAATGCATCTTAAATTTAAGAATGTTTAGATTTTTGACTAGAAACAAGACACAAATACTACGTAAGATAAGCCTCTTTTTTTGCAGTGTACATGCTCATTTGTAAATAATAAAAATACTTTTATTACATTATATGTCCAAAACTGAAAAAATCAAAAAATTTTCACACACAAAAATTTTTTTTTTTAAATTTAAAAGATTGTTACTACAAAGATGTGCTGGATTTGTATTATTAGAGCTTTCCGACTTGAGTTCACGTGCGTTTTCTCAGTCGGGAAATTATTTTTCACATGCAGTGCTGGTGATGATGCTTCTTGCGTTCGTTTCGGAGAACCAGAGGACAAATATTTCAATCGAGCGCTCAGGGATAGCATCTGTGGTCTGATTCGGTTCTAGTACATACCGGTTACATAGGTGCCATATTGGTACCGGGTTTCGGTACCCAAACCTACGTTCAATGCCATGACTTTAAGAGGTTTTCAGGCCTTGATTTGAAGGGTGAACTTAGTGCTGGGCGGTATACCGGTTCATACCGAATACCGGTGTTTATGTTTGTTATGATATGAATTTTTTTAAATACCGCAATACCGGTGTATGTCGCTTAAACAATGTTACGAACGCACCACTGTTTGAAAGGCATCCCTTTTCACTGCTGCACTGCGGTGAGGGAACAGCTGTATGTGTTACTAAGCGTGAACGTTCAGAAACTGAAGCTGTAGAACTAATAGAACGTGACGACACAGAAGAACTCATCCACAATATCCACACTGACCTCCACAAATATCCAGCGCCCGCTCCATCAGCTCCCGCGTCTCACACACACACACACTCTCTCTCACACACTCTCACACACACTCTCACACACACACTCTCTCTCTCTCTCTCTCACACACACACACTCTCACACACACTCTCTCTCACACACACACACTCTCTCTCACACTCTCACACACACTCTCTCTCTCTCACACTCTCACACACACTCTCTCTCTCTCACACTCTCACACACACTCTCTCTCTCTCACACTCTCACACACACTCTCTCTCTCTCACACTCTCACACACACTCTCTCTCTCTCACACTCTCACACACACTCTCTCTCTCTCACACTCTCACACACACTCTCTCTCTCTCACACTCTCACACACACTCTCTCTCTCTCACACTCTCACACACACTCTCTCTCTCTCACACTCTCACACACACTCTCTCTCTCTCACACTCTCACACACACTCTCTCTCTCTCACACTCTCACACACACTCTCTCTCTCTCACACTCTCACACACACTCTCACACACACACACTCTCTCTCACACACACACGAGCGTGACTTTCAAGCAACTCACAAGCAACTTTCAGACCCTTTTAGCGGCTTTCTTCTATAGAATATTCATACTGACAAACCTAGCCACTGTTCTGGATAAAGCTTAGCTATGGTTCAGTTGGAGGATTTCTCCAGAGCTGTCCCGCGAGCGCGAGGTCTGACTTTCCCGGAGAAGTGTCGCCTCTCTCGGCGTCTGTTCTGTGCAGTGAGCGCCAGAGAAGCACCGCAGCCGACTCCTCAATAAATGAGAACAAAACAGCATTTCCTAGCACCTGTCGCTTACTGATTGTTTGGAATTATTAACAGATGAACCACACACATATTTATATCACATGCACTTTTTTAGTTAGTTACTCAGACGCAGGCAGTGCGCCGCATGAGACAGAAAAGTAATATAGCCAAAACAAACGCATAGCCGCTCTTTAGTGTAGATGCATGCTGATTTTATCAGACGATGCTGTGATTATAAATGAGAGTGACTCCTGGATAACATGTATTAAAAGAGGTTGTGTTTAATCACTATTTAGTGTGGTGTTTTTTGACAATATTCACTCATCATGACAGTAAAATAAGTCATTTTAAGTCAATATACTGCAGTATTTCCTCTCAATCAGTAGAAAATATGGTTAACACCCGCTCATGCATGAAAAAACAATACCGTCTTGTACCGTGAAACCGGTATCATTTTGAAAAATACCGTGATATAGATGTTTGGTCATACCGGCCAGCACTAGGTGAACTGATGCAGACGTACCTCCTGGAGCGGTCTCTCCTGCGTCTGTCTCTGTGGCGTCTCCTGCTGCTGGATGAAGAGGAGCGTCTGCGCAGGCGTCTGCGACTGAGATGATTCCTGCTGCAGCTTCGCTCTGACGACGGGAACCGCCGAGAGTGAGGCATCTGCAGACCACACACACCAGCACTTAAAACAGCGGCTTTCTATTAGAATAGGTTTTCAAATGTAATTTATTCCTGTGATCTTCGAGAATGAAAGGTATTATCTAACTGCTACTTAGTCAGACTAGTGTTGTTATTTTTTACAAATGTATCAATATATAATAAAAGTAGCAAATCTATTCGAACATCAGAAATCAGCAGATATTATGTGACAACATTTTATGCACATCTTTAATTTAAAAAAAAACAATACAAACAACAAACAAATCAACAGATGTATATTATTTACATTTAGTAATTTAGCACTTTTTAAAATTATATAATAAATAAGAAAACAGAAGCTAGTGTTAGTTTTGTGTTTTTTAAAGAAAACACACAGTTAGTAATATTTATATATATATATATATATATATATATATGAGATTTCGTTGATACCTTGTACAAAATATGCATTTATTTAAAAATATAAATATTTTTAAAAACATGTTCAAAACCTTAGGTCACCGATATTTTCCTATGATTTCAATAACTTAATTAGTTGATCATAAACCTTAATGAAGTGGCACATAACTCAAATTCATGAAGATCTGAAAATGTGCATTTTTTTAAAAAGTCAAAATTCTTAGCGTTTGAGAAAGGGGCGGGGCTTAATGAATGTGTTCAGCGAGAAGGAGCACAGTGACGTCACACACAGTGCGTTCCCGCAGCTAGCCCAGAGAGAAATATAACTAGCTTCAGACAGCGACATTAATTAATATCTTCATTTGTGTTCCGTCTTTATAATGTATCATTTAACAATGTACCTGTATTGAAACATGTGTGTGTGTGTGTGTGAGTCCTGTGCAGCGTGAAGTAACGTTAAGTGAAGTGTTTGTGAGAATAGTTCGAGTATGTTTCTCCTCAGAGTAAGCTAGCGGCTAGCGCATCGAGCTAGCGGCGCTTCATCGCACACAAACCGCGCAGTCTGAGCCCTAATCTGCCAAACCGACCACATCAGCGACAATAACGACAACATTTACCGCTTTAGCCGCGACGCCGGTGCGTTTGTCCCACAGAAAATCCGTTCTGCCGTTATTTCAGCGCTCCGGAAACTCTCGCGCGCAACTTCCGGCGAAGAGCTCCGACTCACGCGCTCCCGTCATTTCTGTGTTATTTCACTTTCTCATCCAGTAATTAAAATACCTACACTGCGAAAATATATATGCTCGAAGTTATAAATAAAACTAATATTATTAGAGCACTTTTTTTTCTTCAGTTTTTACCTCAAAACTTCACGTAATTGTTTGTGAAATGTAAATAATTTCTGAGTGAAAATTATTTTATACCATTTTTTCAGTGTACCTTATAGATGTCACTTTGTAACACAAAACCAGACCACTGTGAAACAGTTTATTTAGGTTGAAAATATATAGTTAAGTTCAATATTTAGTAAGTTTTTGTTTTCATAATATATGTGTGTGTACTGTGTATATTTATTATGTAAATAGAAACACACACATACAGTATATATTTTGGAAATATTTACATGCATATACATTTATATTCTTATATTTTATATTATATATAAATATATTTCATATATAAACATAACATATTTTTCTTAAATATATACATGCATATGTTTGTATTTATATATACATAATAAATATACACAGTGCACACACATATATTATGTACACAACCACTTCTATTTTGAATGCTATTAATCTTTTGACAGCACTAATACACACACACACACACACACACGCTCACTCACACACACTCACTCACTCACTCACTCACTCACTCACTCACTCACTCACTCACTCACTCACTCACTCACTCACTCACTCACTCACTCACTCACTCACTCACTCACTCACTCACTCACTCACTCACTCACTCACTCACTCACTCACTCACTCACTCACTCACTCACTCACTCACTCACTCACTCACTCACTCACTCACTCACTCACTCACTCACTCACTCACTCACTCACTCACTCACTCACTCACTCACTCACTCACTCACTCACTCACTCACTCACTCACTCACTCACTCACTCACTCACTCACTCACTCACTCACTCACTCACTCACTCACTCACTCACTCACTCACTCACTCACTCACTCACTCACTCACTCACTCACTCACTCACTCACTCACTCACTCACTCACTCACTCACTCACTCACTCACTCACTCACTCACTCACTCACTCACTCACTCACTCACTCACTCACTCACTCACTCACTCACTCACTCACTCACTCACTCACTCACTCACTCACTCACTCACTCACTCACTCACTCACTCACTCACTCACTCACTCACTCACTCACTCACTCACTCACTCACTCACTCACTCACTCACTCACTCACTCACTCACTCACTCACTCACTCACTCACTCACTCACTCACTCACTCACTCACTCACTCACTCACTCACTCACTCACTCACTCACTCACTCACTCACTCACTCACTCACTCACTCACTCACTCACTCACTCACTCACTCACTCACTCACTCACTCACTCACTCACTCACACACACACACACACACACATTTCCATACATCTATATAAATAAAAAAACTGTTCAAAAACGTTGCATTTTCCAATAATCTCAATACTTTAATGGCATTCTTATGTTTCATAAATCTTTACTGAACTAACATAAAAACATTTGTTTAGTTTAGGAAATGTTGCTTTGTTTGAGAAGGCTGATTGGTTATCACCGGAGACGCGTCACGGCACACTACAGCGGGGCATGTTGTCACAGTGGGAAGCTGCTAGTTAATATCATATAGGCTATTTTCAGTAAAACAGTAAACCGGTTAAACGTAACAATCAATCAATTCATTGGTGGCCAGCAGCGAATTTAATAAATAAATTATACTGTAATTTATAACACACTAAACGCTCGTGACAACTTGCCCCGAGCTGTCACTGATGTAAAATAATTTTCGTTGATTTTTCTGAGCCCAATTTGTTCTGGTTTTATGCATAAACTCACATTTTTCATAAAACAAGACTTCATGTCTTCAGTCATTTTGTATGTCCAGTAAATTAAGAATCTTTAGACGTTTGAACTGTAAAACAAGACAAAGCACTTTCTTCTGCAGTGCACACTGAATACTCCATTACTTGTTAGTGGCTCAAATAAACAAAAACAGCAACAACACATGGTATAAATGTCTTTTTTATTCAGAAGACAATAGAATAAGAAAAGAGACCCGATCCATTCACCCTCAGACGATCTGAAGCATTAAAACATCACAGATCAAAATTAATTCACACAAGCCAAACATCTGGGTTCAGTAAGATTTATAATGCTTCTCTTCTGCGTCTATTTGATCAAAAATACAATAAAAACAGTAAAAATGTGAAATATTATTACAATTTAGAACAGCTGTTTTCTCTGTGAATATGTGTTAAACTGTAATGTATTTCTGTGATGTGCAGCTGTATTTTCAGCATCATTCCTCCAGTCTTCAGTGTCACATGATCTTCAGAAATCAGATTTTAAGCTGAATTAAACTACAGACGGCATGCAGAATTTTTTTTTTCTGTTTACACGTGTGCAATGATATCTGATCTTTACTAAACCTGTCTGTAACACACAAACAAAACTGATCTGATTATTTTAGGGTTGTGACTCACTGAACTAAAGCACATCATGATTATCATCTGATGATGATGATGAAGGTGTTCAGAGGGATAAATAAAGGCATGTCAGAGAAGCTCTTCTCTTGGCTGTGTTTCAGCTAAAAGCTCGAGTCGCCTCACATTTCATCAGCATGCGGCGGTTTGGCTGCGTCTGCGATTCCTGCAGCCACCGGAGCGCTTAACCCCACAGACAGAGCGTCTGCGTCTGCGGCCGAGCCGTTCCTCTGTTCTCGAGCCCAATCCTGCGTCTGCTGCGGCCCGTCTGCGTCTGCGTCTGCAGGTCTGGGTTCTGACTGAGGCTCTGGAGACATCGGATCGTCTTCTCCGGGATCCTCCAGAAGCGGAAGAGACTCCGCCTCATTCAAGATGCTTCTGGAAATCACTGCACACAATAAAAACCAGAAACACTGCATACTACAGAAGACAAGACTTAAACCACTCGAATACATTTCACACCAATATCATATATGTGTCTCTGCAGCACAAAAGCAGTGTTAAGTCGCTGGGGGATATTTGTAGCAATAGCCAACAATACATTGTATGTATTTTGTATTTACATTGTATTTTTCTTTTATGCCAAAAATCATTCGGATATTAAGTAAAGATCATTTTGTAAATCTCCTACCGTAAATATATCAAAACTTAATGTTTGATTAGTAACATGCATTGCTAAGAACTTCATTTGGACAACTTTAATAATACATTTCACACCAATATCATATATGTGTCCCTGCAGCACAAAAGCAGTGTTAAGTCGCTGGGGGATATTTGTAGCAATAGCCAACAATACATTGTATGTATTTTGTATTTACATTGTATTTTTCTTTTATGCCAAAAATCATTCGGATATTAAGTAAAGATCATTTTGTAAATCTCCTACCGTAAATATATCAAAACTTAATGTTTGATTAGTAACATGCATTGCTAAGAACTTCATTTGGACAACTTTAAAGATGATTTTCTCAATATTTAGCACCCTCAGACTTCAGATTTTCAAATATTGTCCTATCCTAACAAACCATACATCAATGGAAAGATTATTAATTCAGCAATTTCCAAAGGAAGCTTATTTTTGCATTAATTGGAGATTTTGAACATTTCCACTCCTTTATAGATGAAGTTACATTATACATTTTAAATTCTACTTTTTGTAATTAAAATGTTAACATTTAAATTGCATTAAAGTTGATTCAGTACATGTACATAATTTGGAAAAATAAACTGTATAAGATGGAACATTTTTATTGAGATTTTTGAATTTAGCATCATCAGATTAGGTAATATTAGGCCTTTTTTCTTTTGCAAATCATCATAAATGTTGCAGAGCTATATTAGGAGTCCTGGTGTTGTTATGAGACAGTGTTCAGTTCACTCACACGTTGTGTTTCTCCAGCTGATCGACGGTGCTCTGCAGCTCTTTACTCTGAGCTGAACACACCACCACCCTGAAACACACGCGCACACACACACACACACACACACAATCACACACACACAATCACACACTCACAATCACACACAATCACACACACAACGAGAGAGTTCAGACTTATTTCACATCAACTGACTGCAAACACACACAGCCTCAGAGACGTCAGCTGGAAAGGAAAGTGGTTTTAGAAAACTGTTTGGATGAAAGATAAAGACAAGCATTAAGATGAGGAGGAGTGCGTTCTGGTGACTCACCTGCTCTCCAGACCATTGATATACTCCTTCTTCCTCCTGCGACTGTCCTGTGCTGAGAGTTTATTCCGAATCTTCCGTCTTACTTTCTTCAGGATTCTCTCCTCAGTCTGTGAGACATCAGTCCTGTTAGAGCCGAATTCATCACAACACACACACACACTCGTGCACGCACGCACACACACACACACACACTCACACACACTCACACACTCACACACACACACACTCTCTCTCACACACTCACACACACACACACACACACACACCTTTGTTAAGGGCAGGTTGTTGGGCAGTGAGACTCCCTCCTGATCCAGCAGCTTCTGCTCCTCCTCTGTGAGCTGGAGATCAGGATAAACCTGAGGAGAGTTAAATCATCAGCAGCAGCAGCTAAAGCCTCACCATTCACCTGAACGCAGAACAAACGTACCATAAAACCATCGGGGTTCTGAATGTTCTGCAGGTGGTGAGCAGAAACGTTCTCCACTTTGACAGACGACACCAGCTCGTTGACCACACACGAGTCGGCCAGCAGCATCTGAGAGCTCCACTCGTCTGAACAGAGACACACGAGAACATCAATGACTGACAAACCTTTAGAGACAAGCCTGCTGTGAGCTCTGAAGATGTTAATCGATGGAATACACTCCCATCTGTTCATATCAATTCAACTTATTTTGAAATAATCATATTTAATAGCAGAATTAGTGGGGGAAACTACATTTCCCATGATGCCGCTCACCCAGCTCGATGGAGATCACGTCCATCTGTGGCGTCTGCTGCTCCGAGGCTCCGCCCACACCGCTGATGTCATACACCACCTGATAGACGGTGTTACCGAGGTTCTGCTCGTGGGCTCCGTCTGAGGACTGATCTTCAGACAGACCGCTGTCGCTCTCACACACCGCTGACGTGTACATCTCGTTCGGGTTCATGGCGTTCAGAACCTCCTCAGATTCACTATCATTCAAACTCTGGAACACAAGAGAGACGCTTCAAGACAGACGGCAGACAGAACAAGAGTCCAAACAGCTGATAAAAACATCACAATAATCCACAAGTAATCCACAGCACTCCAGTCCATCAGTGAACATCTGGAGAAGACAAAAGCTGAAACTAATCCAGCATTAAGATGTTTTTAACTAAAATACATTGAGTCCATAATCCATAATAACGCTTCCTCCAGTGAAAAAGTGCATCTGCTGTTGTCTCTCACATCAAAATCCAGCCACATATGTGTTTAGAGCTGTTTAAACGCTGCTTGATCTGTGCAGATTTCTCTCCTGATTCACACCAGAACACTGACTCACTGGAGGAAGAGTTATTATGGATTATGCACTCAATGTATTTTAGTTAAAAACATCTTAATGCTGGATTAGTTTCAGCTTTTGTCTTCTCCAGATGTTAACTGATGGACTGGAGTGCTGTGGATTATTGTGATGTTTTTATCAGCTGTTTGGACTCTCATTCTGACGGCACCCATTCACTGCAGAGCATCCATTGCTGAGACACTGATGCAGTGCTACATTTCTCAGAACCTGATGAAGAAACAAACTCATCCTGATCTCTGATGGCCTGAGGATGAACACATTTTCAGCTAATGTTCATCTTTGGTTGGATTATTCCTGTATTCACTCACACAGCGCGGCTCGACGCTCCAGTCCTCCGTGTGTCGCTCCAGTCCAGCGTACAGTATTCCAGACTCTTCCAGGAGCAGGCCGCTCTCCAGAACCTCCTCAGCATCCTACAACAGACACAACTCACGTAAAGCTTGGTGCACGTAAGAGCTGCTTATGTGGAGAAAAACACACAGCCTTTAATGATATGGATTGGAATTGAAATTTACAGATGCAAACAAATAAAGTGTAAAAACAAACACTTAAATGTGTACTTTGTATGTTTTCTTTCCACTAGTCAAAAAAAAAAAGCAAAACTCAAAATCTGACCAGTGCATGAAAAAACAATGGTTGTGTTTATATTGTCCAGCTATTATCACAGTGACAAACATGCTTCTGTCTCGGGTTCAGTGACACGTGACCAGGAGGAGCTCTGATCCTTCAACAATGAACTCTACCTGTCTCTCTCTCTCTCTCTCTCTCTCTCTCTCTCTCTCTCTCTCTCTCTCTGTCTCTCAATTTTATTTCACTTTAAGAGTGCTTTATTGAGAAGTGGAGCACTTACAGGAACAAACCTCAGCGAACAGCCACGATTCAATACGAACAAAACACTGGCTTTGTGGAGCATACGCTCGTTAGTTTGCACAGATGAACAGAAGTTTGATCTAGAAGAGATCTTCTTCTTCGGATCTTCTGCTTCAGTGTGTGTATTAGTAAGTCCTGCTGAGCTCTAGTGGAGTGAGTGTGAGTGTGTG